AACACGGAATGAAGCTGTACCTCCTTCTGGCTGGGCCCCCTGCAGTTTTCCTACCTCAGTGAATGGCAACACCATCAATCTGGGAGCACAGTCCGAAACCTGGGGTCAGCCCTGATACCTCCTTCTCATTCACATCCAATCATTATGAGGTCTTATCCATTGTACCCCCTAACATCGTGAAAGTTTGTCTACTCCCTTTGTCTTCACTGTTGCCATCAGGGTCCAAACAGACTAGTAAAAGAACCTCTTAATAGACCCCCCCAAGCTGCTTTTGTCCCCCAATTTATTCTCTGCATTTTAATCACTCCTCTTTTAAAAGTATACATGGAGTTATTTCATTCTGTCCTTAAAATGCACCAATACCCTCCCATTGCTTTCAGGAGGGTGACTGGATTGTCTGTTGACATCTCAGGGCCCTTCTCTCCCTTCTATTTCTCGATTTTCAGGGGCCAGCAGCCTGAAAGCTACATTTCTCAGGGTGCCTTCCAGGGGACTCTGGGTCAGTGTTGAGAGCTGGAAGGTGAAAGAGGAAGAGGAGAAATGATTGCTTTGGCAGTTGTGGGTGGGTATGCAGACATCAGCAGACAGCTGACATGAGGTTTGGCCAGCGTTCTCCAGAATCTCAAAAAAATGTGGGACAGACTGGCCTCACAGACAAAGGATATAATTCAAGAACTAGACGTCTCCAATGCAGTTTGAGGAACTGACCATCTCAGTTGTCCTCAATGGCAGTAGTCAGATCCTCGGAGTTACGGTGACTCAGCTCTTCCCTGGAATTACCAAGCAGGACATTTCCAACCGATCGTCTTACTCTCTGTACTCTGTTTTGGGTTCTGCTTACTCACAGTTCCAGGAGGCCTCTGTTTCCTCATTGTCCCATCACCTCAGCTTTTGCTTTCACTATCTTCTTACCCTAATCCCATATTGCCCTGTTCAAATTCTGGAGGAAGAGCAAGTCATTAACCAGGTGATCACTCTTGTCTCTATTTGAGTAGGTTAGTCGTACCTCTCTCAAATTTCACTTCTTTATCTGTGAAATGGGGAGAATCCCGCTCTGCTGTGTGACAGAGCTGTTGTTGTGGAGAGAATCTGAATAGGCAATGTGTGTGCAGCAGCTAGTATGGTGCCAGGCAAATAATGCTCACCACACGTTAATTCCTTCCTCCCCTTTCTCTCATGCCCAAGCGCAGTGCCTTTTTCTGAATTCATGGCATTACAGGTACTAACAAATATTTGCTGTATATTAATAAAAATTATGTGTGTATGTGTAGAGAGGGAGAGAAAGAGAACTATTCACTTAACATATAGCCAGCTATTTGAAATTACTCAGAAATATAATGCAGATGCAAAATAAAAATTATGAACACTTGCTACTTTTGAGTATTTTGCCTCTCTTCAAATATCTGCTACTCTATTATACTTAAGACTAGAGGCCCGGTGCATGAAAATTCATGCACTTGGGGGGGTCCCTCAGCCTGGCCTGCTCCCTCTCACAGTCCAGGAGCCCTCAGGGGTGGGAGGTGACCTGGCGATCAGGGGAAGGTGATGCCCCATCACACCTCTGCTGCTGCCACTGCCGGCAGCGCAAGCCTCGGCTGGCCCTGGTTACTTGAGCCTCGGGCGGCCCTCGGCGGCTGGGCAGCCGCCATCCGAGGCTTGCCTGCTCCTTGGGCCGGCCCGAGGGGTACTGGGGGACTCCGGAGGCAGGCGCGCAGAGCGGCTGGACCTGCCTGAGGGCAGGCCCGGCCTTGGACGCGCCTGCCACCCCAGAGGGGCTGAGGGGACTGGGCGCAGCCATCTTTGAGGGTGTGGCAGTCAATTAGCATATTCCCTCCTTATTGGCTGTGGGCACCACCATCTTTGAGGGCGGGGCAGTCAATTAGCATATTCTCTCCTTATTGGCTGTGGGCGCCATCTTTGAGGATGGGGCAGTCAATTTGCATATCCCCTCCTTATTGGCTGTGGGTGCCACCATCTTTGCAACAGCGTGAGGGGCAATTAGCATATTCCCTCTTTATTAGATAGGATGGTCACATTTAAGATGGTCTCAGCTCTCCATCAATAGATTCCTTTCTGCCAACACAATTACATCAGCCTGCGATACATTCATCCAAAAGGCTCCTCTTCCATTCCCTATGCAGACCAGGGACCAGGCACCACGCATTCTGATGCTGATTTTGACAAAAGCAAACACTAACTTTATGCTTGCCCTGCATGAGAATTTTAGGAAGAGGGCACATATGGAAGATTTGCTGGTAGGAGACAATACAAATGTTTCATCTATCTATCTACCTATCTACCTACCTATCTACCTTTGTTTTTGGTATCTGTCTACATTTATAATTTAAATATTCACACACATCCTGGCTATTACTTTCTTTTTCAAAATCCAGCAATATCTGAACCAAAACTAAACAAAATCCAACCAAAAATAGTCCAAGTGCTTGAGCTCTGTTACAGAGAAAACAATGGTACAGGCTAAAAAGCAGACCTGGGTTTGAGTCCTGCCTCTGCTATTCATTACCAGGCAATTAGGAAGAAATTATATATTATATATTTATTGACATGTAAATATCTATATATATAAAAGGCTAAGTGACCGTCCGACCGGCCAGTAGGTCTGATGCACACTGACCACCAGGGGGCAGATGCTCAATGCAGGAGCTGCTAAGCTGCGGTGACTTGGCAGCGGTGGTTCTTAGGTGATGCACCCAGAACCAGAGAGGAGGGGGTCTGATCTGGGGCGCGTCACCTGAGAACCACCCTCTCGCAATCCAGGACCCTTTAGGGGATGTTGGAGAGTCGGTTTCGGCCTGATCCCTGCAGGCCAGGCCAAGGGACCCCACCTGCCGGAGGGACCCCGCTCACTCTGCAGATGACCTTCAAGCCGCGGCGCCACCCCAGGTGTGGCCGGTGGGGGAGGGACCGTGGGAGGTTGGCCTGTCTCACCCAGTCCCGCCCTGCTGGCCACCTTCTAATTAATTTCCTTGCAATGTGCACGAATCGGTGCACTGGGGCACTAGTAATATATAAAATGAAATATGTAAATAGAAATATATAATATATGACACCTGTATTTACAATATATAAAAACTAGAGGCCCAGTGCATGAAATTCATGCACGGGTAGGTTCCCTAGACCTGGCCAGCAATCAGGACCTTCCGGCTGCCAGCTGCTGGCTGGGGCCTCCCTTAGTTTCACGCCACCCCCTGGTGGTCAGTGCATGTCATAGCAAGCGATTGAACTCCTGGTCTCCCAGTTGAACTCCGGAGGGGACACTTTGCACATTAGCCTTTAATATAGATAGATATTTTTTATATATTTATATATAAAAACATATACAGATTTGAGGATCTTAAGGAGCTGTTTTTGCCAATTTCAGCCTTTTCGAATGTTGCTCTTGTACTCCTAAACTGTTTGCATTGACTATGTACTACAGGATTCAATTCATACAGAATTTGTTTAATAACCTCTAAGCTATGTCCCATTAACCCACTTTGTAGATGAGAAAAACTGTAGTGTTTTCTCATTCTGCCCTTTGCATTTTGGGCAATTCATAAAACTAGATCCATCATCACTTCAGCATACATGATCTTGGATTTTTCTGGTTGCTCACTGGTAATCCTGTCTCCTGACATGATTGCTGGAAGGAAGGTCAGCACTGGCCTCGGGAGGCCAGAATCATGCGCTGAGCCTCCACTGTCCTCTGACTGGCTGCATGGCTTTGGGAAAATTGTTGAACCTCATTGGGCCACACGTAAAGCAAGGGAATTGAAGAAGTGGTTGTCTAAAGTTCTTTCCCACGCTGTGGGCCATGGTATCGCAAGGAGGGCAATCCTTCCTGGTAAACTTTACTCCTTTTCACAGCTTTGAACTCAGAGGACTTTCCCATTACAGCTCTTGGACTATTAAGGAAACCCACCATGCTCATGTGCTCCCATATCCTCGTGTGAAGAAATCTCAGCCCATTGCTCTAGAAACAAGTAGCCCTTGAAAATTAAATTAGATATAAGACTGTCATCATCAAAAACATACCCATCATTGATCATAATTGAGCTCCCAGTCACTGCACTGCCTGGCCCATCGTTCATGTTAATCTTTTAATAATCCTGTGCAGGGTGATCATTATTCCTATTTTACAGATAAGAAATGAAGGTTTTTTTTACAAGTAGAAACAAGTAGCCCTTACAAATGAAATTATCGGATCTTTATTAGCCTCTCACTTGCTATTCCTGGGGAAAAGTATCCTAGACTTCCAAAAGTCACTTATAATAAATAATAAATGCTACCAGAAGTCCAGCACTCAAGTCAATACGACAAAGGCACATTATACACACACACACACACACACACACACACACACACACACACACACACACTAGAGGCCCGGTGCATGAAATTTGTGCACAGGTAGGGTCCCTAGGCCTGGCCGGCAATCAGGGCCAATCGGGGTCTTCTGGCTGCTGGCAAGGGCCTTCCTTTGTTCTGTGCCACCCCCTGGTGGTCAGCATATGTCATAGCGAGTGACTGAACTCCTGGTCAAACTCCCAAGGGGACACTTTGCATATTAGCCTTTTATATATATAGATGTATGTGTAAAAAAAAAAATATATATATACACACATACATACATACATACATACATATATATATTAATCAGAATTAAATAGCCTGCATGTAATACTGGACATTCCTTATCTATAAAGCTAAGCAGCTGCTCTCTGGCTGTTTCCATCATAACTGCACAAGGCACACATACTGTCATCTCCATGCTATTACCACACTTACAGGCAAAGGAGTCTAGTTCTCCTAGGGAAGATACTAAATTATGGAATATCCATCCATAATTTAGTATCTGTTACTGGAGAATAGATGAACTAATTCACGTGTCTGATCCTTTCTAGGTCCTTTTCCCCCGTGAACCAAATATATCTGGAATAGGATAAAACACCCTCTTACGCATGCGTATGTGTAAGACCGGGGTGAACTCCGCTCCTTACTTGTACAGCAGGACGTCGGCTGCCTGGAGCACCGGGTACGTGAGCAGGCCCACGGTTCCATCGTGCTTCTGCTTGGCACTCTTTGCCTGTGGGGGTGAAAAGAGGAGGGAAAGAAATCTGACATGAACCTAATTATACTGTAAACTAAGAAATCTTTAAAGCAAGCAAAGGGTAATCTAAAGGCGCCTGCAATGACATTACATCTCAGTTCCTTCTAGCAACTCTAGCCATCTTCTGGTGGCTTGTCTTCATGCCCCAGGCTTAGGCAGGAACAAGGTGAGTCCACTCCACCACTGCCACTATTTCCCATCCATTTTATTAAAGTAAGGGCATAAGAGTTTTCAAGGTTCCAAATCAGATAATTCCTGATTTCACAGGCAAGGGCAGAAAATGTCATGAAATTAAATGCCTATAAACTAACATGAGTTAACATCAAATGCCTATTGTTTATCCAGGGAAATCTCCCCAAAAGTCTCACACTGTGCTGTTAACAAAACTGGACTGTTTCCTGAAAATTACATTTAAGTCTGGCTGGTACTGCTCAGTGGTTGAGTGTCGACCTATGAACCAGGAGGTCACAGTTAGATTCCCAGTCAGGTCACATGCCTGGGTTGCAGGCTCAATCCCCAGTAGGGGGGCATGCAGGAGGCAGCCAATCAATGATTCTCTCTCATAACTGATGTTTCTATCTCCCTCTCCCTTTCTCTCTAAAATCAATTTTAAAATATCGCATTTAAGGAAACAACTACAAAGGAAATCATGGCATTTAAAAAATAAAAAGAAGAGAAATTTTAATCTCCCAATCCTAATTACCTGTATTGATCTTTAGGTGCTACAGCAGTGAGAGTAAAGTGATTCCAATGAACAGGACAAATTGCATAGACCAGACTATTTCCTTAATGGGGAAGCTGATGGAAACACCAGAGGTGACATCAGAAATATTTAATAACTGGTGAGCAATGGGTGCCAGCTATAAATTACTAGTGTGTACCCACTGAATATGAGCCCTAGTGATACCAGCTCCCTCCTGCGGTTAAATAGTGCTGATGGGTAACTTGGTTCTCTAAGTAGGGCTACTTATTAGCAGGGAATACTGTGGTGTAGTTCACTGGTAATTGCATATCATTACATGTAAAATGATAAATAGGTATTTTGGTGTGTAGACAAATCTCATTTGATTAGTTAATAATAACCACTTCTCAGAGGTCCTATTATTTCTGAACAAATTGAACAACTAAATGCATGGACTAGCATGATCCCCAGGACCAAGCTCAACAAGGCCCACAACTCGGGCTTTCCCCACCAACGTGCAGACACACTCCTTGAGTCGGGGTCTGAAAGGCAAAAGCTTCTCACTCATAATTCAGTTACCAACTTAACTGTTCTGGTTACTACCAGGAGTTTCTTGTTTATAGCAACTAACGCTATATAGGCCACTCAAAGGAAATTTGAAAGTTTGAACTTCAGTATATCTCCTTCTTACAAAGTCCATGATAAATGCCAGTTGGCAATGATCACTGGGTAAAGATAATGAAAGTTTAATTTGGAAATGAGCAAACGGGAAAAGAACTCAGTTGTTTAAAATTGCCACTGCATTAGATTTATAGTCTTTTAATATTAGAATACTGAACCTTGAAATTACAAAGAAAAGGGAAAGATGTGGAGAGCACTAATATTTTATTGCGTGTCTATTATCAACCCCAGATGCCTTACATCTGTATTATCTCATTAATCCTCCAAATAACCCTGACCTCAGCAGCCCTGAGCCCACCTTTTTACCCTATGGTCCCACCCCTCACTGCGCCAATCAAAACCAAGGTAGGAGCTCTTAGATCCGGCCACAGCACTGGAACCTTTCCTCTTTGTCTTTCACACTTTCTGTCTATCTATCTATCTATCTATCTATCTATCTACCTACCTACTTACCTATCTATCTATTATTAATTTTAGAGAGGAAGGGAGAGGGAGTGATGAGAATCATTGATCAGCTGCTTCCTGCATGCCCCCTACTGGAGACTGAGTCTGCAACCAGGGCATGTGCCCTGAACCAGGAATTGAACCGTGACCTCCTGGTTCATAGGTTGGCGTTCAACCACTGAGCCATGCTGGTGGGCTCTTTCACACTTTCTGATTACTTGTTTAATTGCCTTTTCTCGAATAAACTACAAGCCTCATGAAAGGGGCTGTTTCCACCTGCCTTGTTGACTGCTGTGGCTCTAGCACCTAGCGTGGCAGGAGACTTGCAGGAGCATCACAAATATTTGTTCATGAAGAGATGACCACCGAAGGCAGTAACATGCTAGGTGAAGGCTGGCACTTGAAATCCATGTTTTCCCCACAAACCAGGAATTGCAGGCTCGTGGGAAGGCTTCTCCAGGATATCGACCGAGCATTCACTAGTGATGTGTTACCAGGAGGCCCTTAGACACTATTGTAAAGTAGGGACATTTCCCATGAAATTAGTATTCAGTTCTTATAAAGAGGATTTCAGCATTCCATTGAGTGCTAGAGGACTTATATCAACTGGGAAAAGCCTGGCCTAAAACCAAAGCATTACACAATTTTGTTGGTAATTCTTGTCAGGTAATGATGCTGCAGCATTATCAACATCTTCTCTAAGCACCATCACTTTTAAGCTCTGTCTGCTTATCTCTGCAGCGGATGCAGAGGCTGCTGAACCATCTTGCTGGAGAGCAGCTTGAAACTGGAATTAGCCTTGACAGAGTCAGTGGCTATCTGCCCTTGGGTTATCCAATTGCAAAAATAAATGGAAGTAAAGTACTATGAATTATCCAATTTACCTTTCTTAGTTGAACTTCTAAGAAAAAGTACAGCCTTAGTTTATCTGTGGGTTTGAACTGCTGCCTGGACTCAACTTGTTTCAATGTTAAATAAAATAGGCTGTCTCTTCCCCCCACAATAGAAACATTCTTGCCTCACTGCCAGGTAGTTCCAGTGCCGACGGGATAACTTCAGAATCCCGTAATCCAGAAATTTTGATTGTTAAGTACAATGTGGTAGCTTCAAGGGCATTACCAAGTCTATCCAAAGGGCCCTCTGATTCAGCCATACACAGATCAAATCAAGTACATTGGATATTTTGATCCAGTTTTTAAGTTGGAAGGAATCTTAGGGAACCCTTTTCATTTCCATTTAATACCCTGAGGCACAGAGTTTAAACATAGCTTTTCTAGTCACTAGTGAGTAGCAGACCAGGAAGGCAGTCAACTTTGGGATTCCCAGAGCCAACCACAGAAATAAGCGGGGGGCGGGGGTGAGGGTGTGGGGTAGGGTGGGGGAAAGTTGTAATGCGGACCTTGAACTCCTTTCTGTTTGTTAATCAGATTACTGGCATTTACCTTCCACTGGTGTAAATGTTGTAATCGGGGTAGTCTGACCATGCAGGTAAGGATCCAACTTAATTGTGTGTGTTCAGCCACCTAAAGAAATAAAATAGAACATTAACAAAGGTGGTCAGTACTTTCTTACATACATGACAAAACTAAACAAACGGCGGGTATCACCTTAAATGGCTGAAAATACCCCAAATCAAGGTGATTTTAAAAAAGGACAGGTGAAGGGGACTTGCACAGAATTTTAGGTGAAGGAGAAATCTTCAAAACCAAACAATATGATTGCTAGTATAGTGTTTAAATCCTCTTTACAACATCCCTAGAAAGACTGTTTTGAGGGGATTTCATTAAGTCCTGAGACATCTGTTTCATCTTTAAAAAGCCAAGGTTATTAAGACACACACACACACACACACACACACACACACACACACACACACACAGGTTCAAGTCCAGTCGAAATAAATGCTAAATATATGAAAGCATCCTGGCTGGTGTGGCTCAGTGGGTTGAGCATCATCCCATGCACCAAAAGGTCACCAGTTCCATTCCCTATCAGGGCACATGCACAGGTTGTGGGCTTGATCCCCAGTAGGGGGCATGCAGGAGGCAGCTGATCAATGTTTCTTGCATCGATGATTCTCTGTCTCTCTTTCCCTCTCCCTTCCTATCTCTAAAATTAATAAAAATATATTTTTTAAAAAATAAAATAAATATATGAAAGCAGCTATGATACCTTACATGTAAATGGTAGAGAAAGGTACTGGACTTAAAGATCGATACTTTAGACCTAGAATAATTTGAAATTTCGGAATCACTTTATCATTCCAAACTATAGTTTTTAGTTGTCCCTCCTCTTCCTCTTCCTTCTTTTTTTTTCTTTTTGTAAAAGAAGAGGTCTAGCCCTGGTCAGGTGGCTCAGTTGGTAGGAGTGTCGTTCCATGCACATAAAGGTTGCAGGTTTGATCTCTGGTTGGGGTGTGTACAGGGGGCAACCAATCAACGTTTCTCACATCAATGGTTTTCTCTCTCCCTCTCTATATAAAAATCAATGAAAGCATGTCCTTAGGTGAGGATTCAAAAAAAAAAAAGAAGCGATCTAGTCAATAAGAAAATACAACATTTTCCCAATTTTTTTGTTGTTGCAACCAAATTTAATCAAGTAACCAAACCTGGTTACAATTGGGATGATTCTTGGGCCCAGGCCAGGTTCTAACTGATGACCTGGAATTTCAGGCCCATGCATCTTGTTTCTGGACCCCGGGGATTCCGAGCCCTTCATCCATTGTGGCTTTATTTGTGTCCATATGATTTCCTTCAAAAGCAGAGACCGTTGCCAACTCTGAAAAGTGGCCCCAAATGTGTTCTTTGTGGGTTTTGCAAAAGGAACATGAAGGAATGGGGCTGAATCAGCCCAGGCCTATTTTACTAGCAAGGAATCACCATCTGGCGTAAGCTAGTTTCTCATTTTTCCCCTCAAGTCATGGAGAGGGAAGAGTTGTTTTTCACGTATTTGACAAGGAATCGCTTTTCAAGTTTTGCAAGTTGCTGGGCCGAAGCTGTCATCTTTCTTCCAAGAGCCATTCAGGCTTCACGGAGGCAGCGACTTTGACAGCACTGTCCCTGCAAATTGCTAACTGCTGCCGTAAACAAACAGCGAGCAGGCAGAAACAGTGACGCTGGAGGAAGCAAGAGGATTCTGGTTGCTTTTAATCATCAAGCAAAACACATTCCCATTAGAAGTAATACAACAAGAGCTGATTTTTGGCATGAAGAAGTTGGAAAGGGTTTCTGTTTCTTCTTTACTGAATTGGGGAAAGAAATGACAACACAGAAAATAACAATGGGCGTGTGGAAAGAGACAAGATGACCCCTCTCCTTCAATCCGGGCTCATGTGCTCAGCTTTGGCGATACGCAAAAAGCTAGCATCAGGTCTCCATGAAGTCAAGTATTTCCCTTGGAGTAGCTTTTTATTGGGACATATGAAATGAGAAGTTCATATTCTGCAGAGATCTTCCTGGCGTTTCCAACTAGGGGCAGAAAAGTAATCCAAATTATTCTTAGACATAAAAATGTAGGTTAAAAAGTCAAAGAATTAATTTTCCCAATTTATTATTGCTAATTATATAAGAAGGGTAGTATTCCTCAGGATTTGGTTCTTTTCATTTACTTATATTCAAGACAACTGCTTGGAAAGGTTTAGATTTGTATCTGGAGAAAAGTGAAAATGGTATTTAAATATAGTCTGTTTTGAGTTATGTTGTGAAACCACAAAATAATAATATGATCTGTTTTAGCCACAGAAAAACAAAAGCATGGACCAATAAGGTGGCCATCCACCATCAAGCCAGCACTGACTGAAGTTCTGATCCCTAATCCTAACAGTAAAGACACATGCATTCGTCAGTTACAGCAGTTCTGCCTGCTTTGTTTGCTGCTGTAAAACAAGAGTCTGACACATTGCAGGTGCTCAGTAAATACTGGAATGTATGAGCAACATAAAAGGCTGCAGAAAGAATGGTGAGGACCAAAAAGAATCCATTAGAGTTAACAACAGACTTGGTAATCCGGGCAAAAGCAGTTGCAAGGGAGTGACTGGATGGAAGCTGAAGTACAGAGAGGTGGGTTGAAGTGTGAGTAGGTGGCAGGATCTGAAGACAGATGCAGAAGCAGTATGGCAGAGTGGTTAAGACCTCTCTCTTTGGAGTGAGGCCGCCAGGATCATAATGCAAGGTCTGCCACTAATTAGCTGGGGGACCTTGTGTAAGTGACTTAATCTCTCTGTGCCTCAGTTTTGTCATTTAGAAACGGAGGTTAATGATAATATCCACCTGCCAGGGCTTAGAGCTGTGTATCTAGCACACACTAATCATTCAACAAATGGTATTTCTTATTATGGATACTTTATAGGAAGACTTTTTGTTTTAACTTTTTATTTTGAGATGATTCACATATCCACCTGCCAGGGCTTAGAGCTGTGTATCTAGCACACAGTAAGCATTCAATAAATGGTAGTTCTTATTATGGATACTTTATAGGAAGACTTTTGTTTTAACTTTTTATTTTGAGATGATTCACAAGTTGTAAGAAGTAATACAGAGAGATCCAGTATACCCTTCACCCAGTTTCCCCAATGGCAACATCTTGCATAACTACAGTATACTATCACAACCAGGAAAATGAATTTGACACAATCCATCCACCCTATTTAGATTACACCCATTTTACATGCACTCATTGTGTGGGTATATTTAGTTCTATGCAATTTTACCACATGTCTAAGATATGTTTTTCTTTTAAAAAACGTTTTTATTGATTTTATAGAGAGAGGAAAGGAGAGGAAGAGAGAGAAACACTGATGAGAGAGAGTCATTGGCCGGCTGCCTCCTGCACACCCCCTACTGGGGATCGAGCCCTCAACCCAGGCATGTGCCCTGACTGGGAATCGAACTGACGACCTCTCGGTGCATAGGACAACGCTCAACCAACTGAGCCACACTGGTCAGGCTGAAACATTTTTTAAAGGAAGGATAGAGATGGCAATAACCAGTAGGGTTTAGCAGGGATCCTCAAACTACGGCCCGCGGGCCACATGCAAATACAAATATTGTATTTGTTCCCGTTTTGTTTTTTTACTTCAAAATAAGATATGTGCAGTGTGCATAGGAATTTGTTCATAGTTTTTTTTTAAACTATAGTCCGGCCCTCCAACGGTCTGAGGGACAGTGAACTGGCCCCCTGTTTAAAAAGTTTGAGGACCCCTGGTTTAGAGAATAAAATTTTGTTTTGTTTTTTAACTAAGGACAGACCTACTTTTCAGAACATCTTCCACAGAAACAGGAGGGGAAATAAATATAGGATGAGGTTATATCTTGTGGGACAGAATCAGAGAGCAGAAAGTTAGAGGACTTCACATCTAATGGGCTCTGTTATCTCTGAAAATAGAAGACAGGGTGATTAGAAACAAATGGGATAAGAAATATACTCAACGGAATTGCTGAGTTTGATAGGAAAGAACAAAAGATCTTCTGGAATAGAGTTATATAAGGCTTGATGTTTTGGGGATGTTTTTGTGAATTAAAAAGGGCAATCATTTGTAAGATACACTCTTTGGGAAACATTGGTATTCTTCAAGGTAGACTAAAGTGTTCTGCCTAAATAACAGGTTTTTTAAAATTTTTTGCAGAAAAATTAAATCAGTTGCATCTTTAATTTTCCTTGGCCAATATAGATTTTTTTTAACAGGATCCAAAAAGTACTAAGCACAAAGCAAAAATCTGGATAAATTAAAGCACATTAAAATTGACAACTTTTCTTTATCCAACACCACCATTTAAAGGGGGAAAAAGGCAAGTTACAGAGTAGGAGGTGATATTTGCAAGCCTATATATATTGGTGTACATAATACGTAAAAAACTCCTACAAATTCATAAGAGAAAAGCAGACAACCCTATGAAAACTGGCCAAATGCATTACATGCAAATTAAAGTGGTATCGCTGTGATAGCACTACACACACATCAGAATGATTAAAGTGAAAAGGCTGAATAATACCTACTATGGCAAGGATATTAAGTAAGTAGAACTCTTATACACTGCTGTGGGATGTAAACTGGAAGCACGTCAACTTTAAAAACTGTATCCACTAACACTCAACATTTATATAACATATGAGCAAGGCAGTCCATTTCTAGGTATATATCTAACAGGAACGTTCTCAAAAATATATGTACAAAAATAAAATGTGACAGCCCCAACTATAAGCAATCCAAATGTCCACCTATGTAAAATGGATAACTTGTGGTATATTCATACAATGGAATGTTACCGCAATGAGAATGAACAATTGCATTCAACAATACAAGTCAATCTCAGAAACACAGTGTTGAGTGAAAGGAGCCATACACCATACAGTATGTGCTAAATAATTTAAATGATGTTAATTTCAAAAAATATATTATCTTGGGAGAGGGATAGTTAGCGGCTAGAAAAGAACAGGAAGAGCATTCTGGGTATGAGTCGCATGGGTGTGTTCAGTTTGTGACAATAGGTAAGAAGCTAGTAAATCCAACTACATTGGGCCTTGA